TATTCACATTTTTCTCTAACATAATATTTCAGGATAGGAGCTTGGAGTCACAGAATTACTTTCTAATATTTGGAGGTGGGACAAGGCAATGCCCTGGCAAGGAATTAGGAATTGCTGAAATTTCTACATTCCTTCATTATTTTGTAACTAGATACAGGTAAAAATATTGATAAATCAACATAAACCTTATATTAATTGCTACTATATGTTAAATGGAAAAAAAAATGTAATGAAAAAACTAACTAATTTGTTCAATATTTGCTGTAATTCTGCAGATGGGAAGAAGTTGAGGGTAATAAGCTTGTCAAGTTCCCAAGAGTGGAAGCACCAAATGGATTACGGATTCGAGTTTCGAGTTATTAGAGGGAAAATTGAATTAGACTCCATTGTAGTGTACAGAATTAGCACAGGCAGATGAGATTAGGGATTTTTTGTACAATAATTCCCTAACATCTAACACATTTGTAGAATTTATAATGAAATATAACATTCATTTTATGAGGTGCCCTGATTGTTTCTCGTGTTCTTTTAATTTAACTTGTAATTTTTCTAAAAAATTTTGTAATACATGGGAATATTAACTTGTTGATCGAGAATTATATGTCTATTGTCTACTAAAATTATCGTCCTAAGTTAATATGACTAATCTTAATCGATTTGTCATAGAAAAAATGTTCATTCTTGTGAATATAATCGATTATACACTGCTCAAATAGAATCAGATCAGTTGAATGTTACATCATCCGAACATGTTGAACTTAATTGCCAAATTAGAACCTTCTATTCATTGTCTTACCACCAAACAATTAAAAAAATAGGGTCTAAAAGAAGCTTAAAAAATTAAAATGTACGTTACTTGGATTCTTTATTTTATCTTTAGTACCGTTAAATTGAAACTATTCTCTAAATTACTACAGAGCCAAATCATATGAAAATTTCACAAAGTAATTGTGTTTCACATTTGGACACACACCCATGTCACATAAGTGACATAACTAATACCAACAAATAAGCATGCAAAAAAGCTAAAAAGATTTAATGAATGAACTAATGTATCAAGAATCTCAATGTCAATCTTCAACACTCATCTATAACATAAAGATGTTATGATTTCATTCAACAATAACATTCCCATCACAAATGATACTCAATATTAGAATAATGATGAAAGTGCATATATTTCAATAATTTGGGTGTCCAATATAAAAAATAAAAATAAAAACCCTTCCAATTTTTATTTTTTATTTTTTTTGAAAAAAAAGAAGAAAAAAAAAAGTAGTTCTTGATGCTAATGATGTAGAAGTAAGAATGATTGGTTGTATAATCTCATGGGGACCTTGGTACAGTCTGGAAATTGGACCCAGAAGCAAATGCAACCTTACAGTCTGGTCTTAGCTTAAAGCCTTATTGTCCATATTCTCTATGTGTGCTTCCCAAAGTGAATCTCATCCTTTGCCAATTTTTTTGATCATCATTTGCACTAATTTTATTAATTATCTTACCTTATTATATAATTTTTATATTTATCTAAATATTTTGTAGGCTGGAAAGTTATGTCCACAAATGAAAGGTTATCAAATTTATAACAACATTAAATTATAAAGAAAGAGCACAATTAAATTAAAGGAATGAAGCATAACCCATCTTGTTATAAGAAAGTGCAACAAAATTAGTGTGATTTTTTTAATTTTCATATTCCTTAAAAGCACACGAATAGGTTTGTTGAATTTGAGCTTCTTTAAAAGCAAGGTATTATGTATTATCATGCACCATGATTTAGATAATGATGTTGCAAGTTGTTTGATCATTTTGTGTCTCCTTTACCTTACAATATTATGATTACATCAATCTTAAAGAATTATTCTATGGACCTTAAGAGTACTCGAAAGGAAGGGACGCCGAGGCTTGCCTAGTTTTTAATTGTGACATCACGATATTCTATGTATGCTTAAAATGGATAACAAGCGCGTATTGTAGAAAACTAGAAATATTGGAGACTTATTTTAGAGAAGCATTTTGAAAATCTTAGGAACTAACAAGGCGTATAATTTTGGTCAGAAAATCCTATATATAATCACAAACCCTCTAAGCTCATAATCCTTCATTTTTGTGCACTTCATAAATAACCAATAATATATCATAACTTTCAACATTATTTTCCTTTGTAAGTTATATTAAATTCATTAATACGAGTACATTCTACTGTTTTAGTGATTAAAGAAAATGTCAAGCACAGTAATTTTTTGGCCAATCATGCAAACACAACCTGATGATTGGGCCTTTTTTAATATTACTCAGCCAAATTTAAATTCTAACCAAGTAAAGCCAGCATTTTAAAATTTCGGTCCAACATGTCATCAACCATTTTACTCGATATTTGACTTTGGATCAAGTAAAGTTGGCCACCTTCAATTTTTATGGGCTAAATTGGGCTATTTTTTACGATGTAGGTTTAATAATTTGGGTTTTATTGGTCCAACCACAAACCTTTTAAAGAGAAAGGCTTATTCAAGTATCCAGTAGTCCGGTAGGCCCAACAGGCAAGAGATATTGCGTGCCGACCAATTAGCACGTATAACGTATGGGTAGGATTACGGTTGACCAAAATTCAAAATGGTATGGCACCAAATATTCCAGGGTCAAACCATATAATGCACATGATACTTACTCCACGACCTAGTATTTTGACTATGATAGAAACATTTACTAATCACACCCTTTGAAGTATACATCACCAATTTCATTAGAAAGACGATCTATAATAAGCTGAAATTCATAATGTGAAAGTTGCATAAATTAGAAGATATATTCATTGTCCATTTCCTATAGTGCATACAACATTGAATTTTTTTAAAGTGTTCTTTTTCAACTTTGACCTAATTTAATTGTTAACAAATAAAACTAAACGACATTATTCTATTTATTATTGGGTTGATCTTAATGCATAATTTAATATCTTACATTAATTTTTAATAATTAATTTAAATATATTAATAATATTACGGAGTAGATATTAATGATCAAAATTAATATTTAACTAGTGAGAAAAAAAATTAAATCTAATATGTATTTAGAAACAAAGGAAATACTTCCAATTTTTTTTATTTTTAAGAAACAAAAGTACATGCTTCCATATACTAGAAACACTTTAAGTTGAGAAGAAGTTACCAAGAAGGCAGCAAATAAAAATTTTAATACCCAACCAACCGACTGTTTCAATGCACATATAATAGCCCTTTGACTATATATTGACACATCATAAACATTTGAAAATTAAGAATGTTCAAAGTACTTCAAAATTGGATCTAAACCAATAAGATTTGGAGAAATAAAAATAAATAAATAAATAAATAAAATAGACAAAACATTGTTCAAGGATTAAGAAAAATGTCACCCACACCGCAAGTTACTCCTCAATCTTTTGAAGTGGGACAAAACCAATTAATTTTCCCACTTTCGTAGAATCCTAGTACTAAATACTTGTTCTTTTCTCTTTCACATTCACTTTGTCCAAGTTTAAGTTAACCTTACTTTCTAGTTTACTTCCACTCTCAATTTCCAACTTATATTCCACTCTTTTCTGCGTGTCTTCGAGTGCTAGCTTGATTATAAACATGACTTAAGTCTACATGCAATCTTAATACAGCCATAGTTAAAAAAAAATTAAAAAAAATAAATAAATAAAAAGGTCATAATAAATTAATAACAAAAAAATAAGCTTATTACTTTCGGTAAAATTTGATAATATTTGCATCCCTTGATATGTTTGATAATTAGATAACGAGTTAAATAATGTGGTGTACTCTCGTTCATATATATAATATCATTGCATTGCCTTATCAGTGTAAAGATACTATGCCCCTTAATAATACCCATACAATTGCTAAAGTAGAACAACATCCATGTGATTTCTTGCAAACTCCCCTAAAACTTGAAAAATGTGACAAGTGAACAACAAGATGCTTGAAACTAACACTATAACAAAATGCATTTGAAGTTCGTAACTGACAACTTTAATTTAAACAAGAATTTTCATATAAGAGTGGTTGTTTCACGTGTGAGATGTATACATGAGCAACATAATGCATCTTGTTAATTAGCTGTCTTCAAAAGTTGCATTTTCTTTAGCTTAGCAAGTATTTTATTTCATTGAACATGAGTCATGCATGTGAAGTTACAAACATTACTCTCATGGGATTTGTTTCACATGAAATGAAATTTTTCAAACTTGATAATCAGAACATTGTTTAAACTAATGTTCACCTTTAATCTTCTATCTAATTAACGTATGTAAGTAGTAAGATATATCTCAAAAAAGCGAGGTAAATAATAAAACCAACCATAAGAAGTAAATTAAGATGATACGGAATAATAAGATGTACTTGTATTTACCTTATTTTTAACATTTGTGCTAGGTAAACAATTTTTTATTTGTTCAATCTCTTCCCTACGATTCAATATTGTAAAATTATACAAGTACAAAATAAACTACAAAGAATATTTGATGGTAACAATAAACCAAAATATTTTCTTAAATATCACACAATTATTTCTTTCCTTTGCACCTTAGAAACAATCATATATCTCCTTCATTAATCCTAAAAAGATATACATCTCTATATTTTCATCTTCAAAAAAATAAAAAGAAAAACTATCCTATCTTTCATGATTTTTTTTTTAAAACCATATTTCATGATTTAATCATTTCATAATTTCTTTACCACCAATTAAAATAAAATAAATTAATAAAACATTTAATTTTTAACATAAGACATAAAAAATAGGCCCCAAATTAACGCTCTTTCCTTAACTCTCACCCTCCCAAAAATTAAAAACCTTCAATTAAGGAGAATTCACATATAAAACCACGTGCCCCTCACGTTCTTCTCGCATCAATATTTATTTTTTTCACAAAACAAAAAATTCCCTCAAAAAAAACAAAAAAAAAAACAATAATTCCCTCTATAATTAAAAATAAAATCAAACCTCTATAAATTTGAAAATTATATCATTCCTAATCATCCCAAACTCATTCTTTCTCACTCTAACTTTCTCTCTCCTCCCCTGTCTTTCCCAACAATGTCGACCCCTGCAACTCCTCTGCTCAAAGATGAGCTCGACATTGTTATTCCGACAATCAGAAACCTCGATTTCCTCGAAATGTGGAGACCATTTTTCCAACCATATCATCTAATCATCGTACAAGATGGTGATCCGACAAAGAAGATTCATGTTCCTGATGGTTTTGATTATGAACTCTATAACAGAGATGATATTAACAGGATTTTAGGTCCTAAAGCTAATTGTATCTCTTTTAAGGATTCTGCTTGTCGTTGTTTTGGCTACATGGTTTCTAAGAAGAAGTACATCTACACCATTGATGATGATTGCTTTGTAAGTTCTTTGAATTTTTGAAAATTTTGTTGTTTTTTTTTATTGATTGGTTGATTTTGGTATCTGGGTATTTGTTAAATTTTGAATTTTTCATCTGGGGTTGTTGAATTTTGTTAGATCTTGTTGTTTTCTGGGGTTTGATTGTGTTTTTTTTTTTTTTTTTTTTTTTTTTTTTTTTTTTATGTTTTTGAATTATGGGTTTTTGATCATGGATCTGGGGTTTTTCAATTTCTATCTATATAAAGTTGTGATCTTTATTATCTTTTGTTGATGAATTTTGATTTATTGTTATTTTATTTTACTGGGTTTAGAATCAATTGTTATATTGATAGTGTAATGTGAACTAGCAATGTGACAACAGAATTTGGATTTTTTAATTGTAATTTGAACTAGTAATGTGACGAAATTAGGATGGAGTAATTACTGAATTTGTAATTTGGAAGTCTCATAACTGTTGAAGTTAGTGAATTTTGCCATTGAATTGTTGAGTGAGGTTAGTCTATTGTGATTTGATTTCTTTTTCATGGCAATTTAATGAGCATATCATGATTTTAATGCTATATTTTTGCAAATAAATGATGCAATTATTTAATTTTGAGCATTGATCTCTTTGATACTACTTCAAATTTGAATGAGATCTTTCTGTTTAGGTAACATTTGACTACAAAAAGTAACAACCTTTTACTTTTCTCACAACATTATTAGTCTACTATCATGGGTCATAAAAGCCTCTAATCTTGCACCTTTTTGAATGGAAATGAAACAGATGGCATGTTATGGCTTTATTTCCTTTCCTTTTCAATTAAGATATCAGTACAATTTCAATTGCAGTTATTAACATACCGCGTATTAGCCTATCACACAGTGTGAGGGTCGCTAACTGGATCAATGTATCATTTTCCATGAATAATGTTGCTTCTAGTTGTCCACATTTTATGTTCCATAACTGAGATATATTTGAGACTCTTAGCTTTAACAAGAGGAAAAGGTGGTTGTATTATAAACTAATGAGGCTCATGTTTAGCATAGACTGATTTGATATAAATCATTGGAATCTGACAGTGCTGATGCCGAATATAGGATAGGAAGATGATGAGCCTATGGAAAACAAGTAATGATTCAGTATTAGGGATATGTTAACTAGTCTTTAGTCTTTCTGTGGATGACATGTGTATAATTATAGTTAATTCCGCGACAAAATCATGAATTGATCTTTGCATTTCAGTTTTTCATCTGATTTTTCTAGTAGGATTATGACAGTAATATGTTTTGACGTACTTTAGTTGACTGATGCTACCTGCTATACATGTGCAGCTTTCTTTGTTATACATTGTTTATATTTATCTCTAAATCTGTGATTCGGTTCTGTTGATCTGTGATTCTTGTCTGTCACCAGACCTGAATCCTTTGATCTGCTAATTCCTTTACATATTACATTATTCGTGATGCTATGCTGTTTTTCTTATAAGTAAATATTAAATTCTTTGTCTAATATACCTTAAATCTATTCTTTTGGCGTATAGGTTGCCAAGGACCCATCCGGCAATGATATCAATGCTCTCGAGCAGCACATTAGGAACCTTCTGTGCCCATCAACACCTTACTTCTTCAACACTTTGTATGACCCATTCCGTGATGGTGCTGACTTTGTCCGTGGATACCCCTTCAGCCTGCGCGAGGGTGTTCCTACTGCTGTTTCCCATGGTCTCTGGCTCAACATCCCTGACTATGATGCACCCACCCAACTCGTTAAGCCCCTTGAGAGGAACAAAAGGTGACTTCCTAGTGCACCCATGTTTCAAAATTTTAATGTTATATACTCCACCGAATTTTTTTTGCTGATTAAATCATTGGTTATGTATGCTGTCTCAGGTATGTGGACACAGTTTTGACCATCCCAAAGGGCACATTGTTCCCCATGTGTGGTATGAACTTGGCTTTTGACCGTGAGCTCATTGGCCCTGCCATGTACTTTGGACTCATGGGTGATGGTCAGCCTATTGGACGTTACGATGATATGTGGGCTGGATGGTGCACAAAGGTATTTTATTCTCCCCGTTGTCTCACACACATGAATTTCTAATATACAACATTGTCCTTCAGGTGCTCTTTCGAAGGAAATTGATTTTTATAAAACGATCTAATGTATCAAAACAAATTTCAGATGTTTCCTATGGTATGTAATTCAGCATGTCTTTCAAATTTTAATGACAATCTATCTTCGGGTTATGGTTTTCCTAGGTCATCTGTGATCACTTGGGATTGGGAGTGAAGACTGGTCTTCCCTACATCTACCACAGCAAGGCTAGCAACCCATTTACCAACTTGAGGAAGGAGTACAAGGGCATTTTCTGGCAAGAAGAGATCATCCCCTTCTTCCAATCTGCCGTGATTCCAAAGGAATGCACCACTGTTCAGCAATGCTACAAAGAGCTTGCTACTCAGGTCAAGGATAAGCTAGCCAAGATAGACCCCTACTTTGAGAAGCTTTCTGATGCTATGGTCACCTGGATCGATGCATGGGACGAGCTCAACCCAGCTGAGACCAAGTTGCCTAACGTTGATGCCAAGTAGATCAACCAACAACTATTCAGATTATACATCATTCTCCTATTTTCCAAAACTCTATTTTTAAGCATCTGTTTTTTGATTTGAGGTCGGAGTTAGGGGTAATTTATATAGGTTAGCAGAGCAACTCTTATATTCCGCATTTACTTTCAGCAATTTTTTCTTTTGGCCTGTTATGGTCAGCAGGCTCATGCTGCTATTCAGGACCGGTAATATAGAGGTATTACATTGGCTATCTGCAGGCCATGAGCTTTTAGATCAATAAAAATTTTCACTTCCTTTTACTTCATATCGCCTTCTAGCCATGTATCTTTGTTCTGTTAGGGTCTATGCCCTATGGACTTGCTTATACTGTGATGAAACTGATGGGTAAGCATGCCTTCTTAGCTGCATACTTGGTTAGCAAGTACCGAAAAGGACTTTTTCACGGGTAATACGTTCTTCACTTGTACACTCGACTCTATATTGCTGAAATTATCAATGTAAAAATTGAAGACAATTAATCAATCAAAATTGAAAACAGTAATGTAAACCTAAAAGGGAGGGTTATTCATTCATAATTCCAAATCAGTCTCTAAGTAACCTCAGTATTAAGAAATGCCAACCCTCCCTACGAACAAAGGCCACAAAACACAGAAAATGCTTAATCGAGCCAACCTACCCTACAAACAAAAGACCACAAGACACAGAAAACAAACACTCAATCGAACAAGCGAAAAAACACAGAAAACACGATTAACAATAAGCTAAAACACGCTGTTAGAGTATTATTGTAAGCATTTGTATTAAAATTTTAACTCTCAAAGGAGAGAAGATTTTATGACTGATTAGCATGTCTAATACTATGTTCCTAATTTCTTGATCCTTGAATGTAATTCGATCTCTTGTCTAAATTTTTGGTCGAATACTAGGGTAAAAAACAGAGAGAGAGAGAACGATGTCGAAAATTTTCTCTGATCAATCAATATAAAGAAATTGAGTTAATAACAAAGAATCATATAATTTTAGTCACAAAATTGCCAAATATTAGAAAGCAAACAAAGACTGAATTACATATGGATGTAAAAATCTAGAACATAGACCAAACTCAAAAATGGGACATCATAGAACCCTAATTAAGGGAAAAAAAACAGGATGGCTTCATATCGTTGGACTTCCCATCAGTCCCTCATCTTCATCCCCTGTTGAGGTACATAAAAACATAATTAAAGAGGATTATCGTGAATCAGAGGTATGATTGTCGATCTTTTGACGCTTAGCATCAGACTCTTCACCTTCTTCTTCGTCGTGGTTTGCAGAACCGTTGATGGCCTCTGGACCCAAAAGAGATACGTGTTTGCTGGTAATCTGGCGGCCTCCCCGGACTTTAGGCCCCCAATACCTTTCTGGATTCGGAAGAAAACGAGCAACTTTCTTCGCTTGTGCCTTGCTAAGAGAGGCAACTGCTCGGGTAAAGTTTGCCTAGTAGAAGATCCAGCACATGAGATTGATTATGTGAAAAAATAAATAAATACTAGTAAGTTGTTAAAAAAAAAAAAAAAAACATTTCAAAATAATGTAAGTTACACTTTCATGGTTACAAAAAGACCAGACATAGTGAGCTTCAAGGATGGAAGAGAATGTGGCCTATAATTTTGAAAAGGAGACAGCCAAGGAAGGAAGATAGTTACCTGAATTTCTGGTTCCTTGGAAAGTATCACGGTTCCTGACTGATCGGCAGGTTGCGGTTTCACTGGATGGTTTTTCACCTACAGCGGAGAAATGTTGATTCAGTGCATAACTTAACACAAATAATAGAATCTTGCTCTGTGGAATATATACACACTTTATATACATAACTAACATAAGCCATCAATACTCCAATTTTCAGTTTAGTAGGTACAATGTTTTTTTGCAATACAAGATGCAAGACATGTAGGTCAAGTAATTACCCAGCAGCGCATGATGTCCCAAATGACACTCATAGGAGCATCTGTTTTAAGACCCAGAGGACTTGCATGAGTTCCTGATATGCGATACCCTGCATTTAGTACAGCTGATCTGAATATAACAGCCGCCGGAGATGTGCACTTCAATGTTCCGCAAAGGTTATGCAAGCACAAAAACAATGGAACATCTGGCAGCTCCTGCACGACAGGTCAAATTATACGAAAGCTATGAAATGATTCATCACTGTTCATGAGTTAACATATATGCACAGAGATTCTGCATCTTTAAAGAGATAACGATAATTAAATCCTTGAGAAAAAATAATACCTCTGAAACAGTTGTCAGGACTGCAACGATTTTATCATAAGCAGGATAACGATCCTTCATAGCTTTCACATCTGATAGTATAGAGGTCACCCACTCTTGATCATGTATAGGAGCTGACCAAATAGGCCCGCCCATGTTAAATCTCTTACCACAATCAGAGCATTCTTGTGGGACTACAGGACCATAGCCAGGATAGTATTTCATATTGTGGTTCTACAAAAATAAACGTAAATAATAAACAAAATGGTAATTCAGAAAGATAAAAATACATATACTTCGTATAAAATAATAAATTCGTATAAAATAATAAACAAATGATTTATAAGAACATTACCTTGGAAACAGATCTCCCCAGAGGCTGTAAATGGAATGAATCACATCCAACACACTGGTAAACATATGATAGTTTAAGAGGAGTCTCCTTCATAATGCTTGCAGAACTGCATAATGTCAAAACATGAATTTGAGGAAGCGGCAACTAAAAAATGAGAAAATCCAAACTATAACAGCAAAAATTTAGTAAGCATGGTGGGCTCTGAAAATTAAAGCTGGCATCATAGCTTAATTGAGTAGGATATGTCACCCACCTGTATATGCGAACAAATACTCGAATGTAAAAATCCATCCGTACAGAGAGTATGGGAACAATGTAGCGTTTATACCGGTTTGCATGGCTCTGCACAGTACAGTAAAAAGTTAACCCTAATGGCATATATATGGGAGATCTTAGAAGGACGGACCAATAATAATTCAAAAGTTCATTTGTCAAATACGAAAAATGAATTTTTGGAGGAAGCAGATACTTTGTACTCTCCTATATAAACATATTGTCCAAGCAGGGGAGTACACATATTACACCAAAAGAATAAATAAGCTTACTCATATTTTGGATTGCTCTATTTGCTAATAAACAATCAAGAGAGTAGGTCTGAGTAAGTGCTCCAGAATTAACACAAACTAGCAAAACCAATAACCTATATCTTCACAGTTACATACATTCTAAGTTTGGTCACAGAATCTGAGATCCAGAGATGACAGGCAATTCATCCTCTAAAGTTCTTCCATTTTCAATAAAGCTTTAACAATTGCTATTTGGTGATTTTTCAACTTTTGATCCCAACGTACTACATAATATTTTCATAACTGTATCGTACTACTGTGGTTTTGGAATATAGGATGAGTCAATAGCATTTCTTAAAAGCAGTGTCTCCCTAATTGCATTTGTATGAACACCTTAATTTGGCCTACGTAGGAGCCTCATAAAAGGCACTTTGTAACTGTATGGAATAATAAGATCATCACCTAGAGATCCAGACATTGACTATGGAGGAACTAGAAAAGAAAAGGATTCTTCTTCAGGCACCAAAATCAACAAAACATTTTATTACACAGTTCTTGAATCATCAATTAAATTGAAAGCACATCAGGGTTGCTTATCAAAACAGAAACAAAAAGTAATTCATGCCTAGCAATTGAAAAACAATCAGTTAATTAAGTGGCTACTCAAAGTTGGAAATGTAGGCAAAAACTGAGTACCAAGAGAGAGTTCAGACTACAAAATTAAGTACCTCAATGCTAGCCAGCAAAATCCTCAAAGCCATTTCATGACAGTACTTAGCTTTCAATGGAATTGAATTATACCTGTTTGAAATTTTGAATTACTCACCAGTCAGCACCTCAACATATAATCTATAAGCAGGAATGGGAGCTCATCAAAATAGGGTTTAATGGAGAAAAAGACATACTTTGAATAGCAAACCTCTGCATTACCCCCACACAATACTGCCATATCTGTGGCTGTGCACATTAGCATGCCTCCATCAACAACAGACTGAATAGCAGAGTCCAAGAACACAGATGGCGAACCATAAGGATCAAGATCAACCTGGAAGCAAATCAACAACACTAATTAGTACATTCCTTAAGAAAAAGAAAATAAAAAAAGCAAATGAAAAGAAAAAAGCACTTCTTCAGCTACCAAGTCAAAAGAACAAAAGTAAATTTTCAATAAATTTTCTTTAGAAGGTCGTGACAATGAAATTTTGAAAGCAAATCCACCAAGATCTCTAAGAATGATTAATTTTAGCAAACTAAGACAACAAATATTGAATGAGCATAGCTCTCTTTTCTATCCATTCATGAGCATTTAGATACTACAACTGTACTAATATAGAGTATCAAAAGTTTCAAAACAATAGCAGAACTACAAAATTCCATATTTCAAGCAGTACTAGAGATAGATTCACAAGCTGAAACCATACCACTTCAAATTCTTTAGGATGAGTAAGCATATAAACCCGAGCATCAGCAAAGTTAGATTCCACCTTTGAACTTGCCACTGAACCATTAAATTTTATATTTCTCTGGCATGCTTCAACAGAAGCTGCACAAAATTGGTAAATTCTATCAGTAAGACAGCGCTGTCATGCAAAATATAAGAATCATACGGATCTTAAGCGAATTCTGCGTCCAATTCAAAGTAGGTCAATATTTGAATAATTAGATCAAATTTCTATCTTCAACAATTTATTTGACAATTTTGCAATAAACTATATAGAAGATATATCTTGTTCAGTATTTAAAATAGGATTACCTTTCTAATGGGCAAAAATGTTCAAAGCTAGTGACATTTGACTATATAAAACAACAATGGCCAAATATTAAGAAACAGAGAAGAGATTATCCTTTATATGCAACTCCAACAGCATATCCATCAATCAATGGCGAAACACTAACAATCATAAATGAAACTAGCCATGTACGAAACTAGAACAAATCATTCATAGAGCGCCAGAGCTAACTCTGATAATCAATCTTAAGGAAACTTACCTTTATCATTGTCCAGGGCAACAATTTGACCAAGTCCCTCAACTTCCCGAGCATACCTAAGAGCTCTTAAACCAGAGGCAGACAAAGCCTGCAGAGTTGGGCATAAAAAAGATTCATCTCATGGACAAGTATAATGATGCATGTTGCAAAATATTAAGATCAGCCTCTTTCAGCATCTTCACCAATTAGACAAAACAACCAAAGCAAATGAAAAGCTGATACCTCAAGAACTCTTGGTGGCTTTAGTTCCCGCTGAAACTTGCCTACCACGGTTTTGCTGGGTTCTGCTACAGTTCCACAAGAAGCATCCTCAGGCTTTCCATCAGTAGCAACATTATTATCATGAACTCCATTAGATGTATGGGAATCATCCTTTGATTCTACTGGTCCATTTTCAGAAGCTGGGGCATCAGTTTTTTCTTCAGATCTTTTAGGTGCCCCCTTTGCCTTCTTTGACAGATATGCTTCATGCTCTTGTTTACGTTTGTCTATATATGTTCTCAGGACTGCAATAGATATGTCCCTATTGTTAACCTGATTAAATGAAAAGACAGGATATCAAGTTAAAATCATGAGAATATACCAGTCATAATGAAAACTGATCCACCAAAAACTAACTTCAGTCACTTTATATTCCATAGTGTGCCAGACAAATTGAAGACCATCTCAAAATATACAGTAGAAATACTTGTTCTAACAAAATCTCAGCATCAACCCCAGCTATTTTTTAGTCTTAGAATCAATCCGAGAAGCAAAATCACCCAAAAAACTCCATTCAACTCCTCATTACGCGATAGTATAGCTTATCACTCTTATATCCCCCCGTTTTGTCACGGAATGAGACATAAAGCTAGCAAGATCAATTATCAATAAAACCTTAAGATTGCAAGTTTGCAACAGCTTAATCTACACCAATCCACAATCCTTCAGCTCAAATGAGCAAAAACCAATGAGTATGTTTGCTAGGGTACTTGAATAAAGCAATGTGACCCTACTAAAAAAAATGCACTAATGCACTTAACACTTCCTCCACAAAACTTCATACAAAACGAGGCAACATGACTAAATTAAACAAGCTAACATACAAGATCAAAAGTTAAATCTTTCCCCTAATCAACAAACATCAATCTATTCCAATTGCAAATAAAAAATTACTACAAACCAATGCATCAAAGAACAAAAAAAAGGCAGATAATCATTTCACCAAAAATAACCCAATGAGCAAAAAATCACAAAACCCCAATTCAAATTTAATAATATCAAACAAATTAACATAAACCCGAGATGAAAATCAACATAAAATAATTAAAAAATCACCTGGGTTTTATTAAAGAACACTTGATTACCCTTATGCATAAGAATCTCAGCCTCTCCTTCTTTAACAACAACATAATCATTGACATCAATAGAATTAGAGTTACCCTTATGTTGTTCATCTTCAACTGACCCATCCTTAGAACCACCCATCTCCTCAAATCCCACAAATTTTTCTTCCGACTGATTTTTGTTGTCCTCGAAAATCGAAGAAAAGGGGGAAATTAATTGAAGATTTGGCGATTTCTGGGCAGTTTTGAAGTGCAGAAGAAGTGGGAGAAGTGGGAGAGTAAAAAAGGGTAGTTTTTGTGCGGAATTAAATAATTTAGGGAGCAACGACGAGTGCATAACAGAGTCAAATTAGCCGACTTTTATATATGTTCGGCTTCAAAACCCTATCTCCATGATTTTCAGAGTTTAAAGTTAAACTATAGTACACTTTTTAGTTTGTATAGTTATTTTTCACTAATTTTCATTTCAATTTGCTCTCTTACAAAAATTCTAATTGTATCCTTGTGTTTACTACGGAGTATCTTAGAATAACATATCAATGTAAATATGTCTATTCAAAAAAAAAATGTAAATATGTATTGTAATATTTTGATGTTAAATATAAATATTAAAAAAATTGATATAATGAAGTTTTAAATTAATACGAGCATCTATTTAACAACCTATTTCAAGATAAAAAAAAAATGTTTTTAATAAGACTATAGTCAAAGTTAATATTTAAATATCAATAGTAAAAAGGGTTCAATGTGTCAATTATTTTGAAACGAAGGGACGAGGGAGTAGTTGAGTTACTCAAGTATATAAAAAAAAAATACTTTGTTGTCCGAACTCCATAGTACTTACTTTATACTGGGGTATGTTGCAAAATAGGCGGAAAAAAAAAGAAGTTTTCCACACGAGTTATTCTTTTGAAAAACTTTAACTATTGTTTAGGCCTATTTTCTGAAATTGAATTATTATTATTAATTAAATTTATTTCTTACTAATTCACTATTAAAATTGTAATTTTAGCCAAATTTAACTCACTGTTATTGATTGACCCTAATAAAAAAAAAAAAAAAAAAAAAAAAAAAAAAAAAGTATAAGTCACAATACTTGCAAGTTACAACACATTATAATTGGAAAGTTGTATTGGTTTAAACTGTTAAAGTTGGACTATTATTCTTATTTAAAGCTTGTGGTCTGCTTAATTTAATTATGCTTCTAACAATGTCTTCAATTAAGGTGTGTTAAATCCATATCTATACCTTTTAAAAAGTATGAGAAAACACTTATAAATAGTGTGAGGACAATTATATCAAAAAAATGTTTGTTTACCAATATGCCCCTATTGATGTAATGTTAATTGCCTTTTAAGTTTTTCCTTGTGAGATTTCTCTTATTAATAATGTTTGGAAAACTATACCCTCTAAAATGTTTATTTACTTATCCCTACCTTTTAAAAAGTATGAGAAAACACTTATGAATAGTGTGAAACTAATTATATCTCTACCTTTTAAAAAGTATGATAAAACACTTATAAATAGTGTGAGGATAATTATCCAAAAAATGTTTGTTTACCAATATGCCCCTATTGATATAATGTTAATTGCCTCCAAGTTTTTCCTTGTGAAAATTAACTTTTATTAATAATGTTTGGACAGCTATACCCTCTAAAATGTTTATTTACTTATTTGCCCTCATTAATGTTAGTTGCCTTTTTTTTAAACTCTTTCTGATTTATACCTCTATAAATATTTGCTTACATATTTTCCCTCATTACTGTTGCCAACAAGTGAAAGAGCTCACTAGAAATGGCTAGTTATGACACGCGCGTTAGTCACCCTAGTCATGTGAAAAAAAATATGGGTTACAAGTATTAAAAAAACGGCGAAAATATTTGTTTTTATTTATTTATTCTTTGGAAGAATTCCGGAAATATGTGTTTTTTGAAAGTGAAAGAAAGTGAAGAGAGCAAGGTTATTTCTTATTTGGGGAACAATCGTTAATAGTTGAGATCGAGCCCAACTACGTATTTATGAAGTCGTTACCAAAATGAACATTTACTATAACAAAAATGAACATTTTCTAACTGAACATATTTTACAATAATTTTTATTTCTCAATAATCAAATGTTCATTTTCATGCAGTATGATATTCATTCTTATAAAATAAATGTTCATTTTCATGTCGTATGATGTTCATTTTTATAAAATAAATGTTCATTTTCTTTTTTAATTAATACAAATTTTTATGTTTGATTAGTTGTATAAGATGTTTGTTTTTATAGTAAAGGATGTTCAATTAACATTAGCATTAATAATGTTAGATATTAGCATTTTGTTCATTATTAAAAAACATATTGTTGATTTATTTAATTGGTATTAAATCATGTACTTTAGTGAATTGCAAGATATCAATTCAAGAGAATTGAATAAATCAAGGTATTTCACTTGAAATTTAAAAAAATGTTGATAAATAAGCAATAACATTATATGTTCATTTTTTATTTACAACTGAAATGTACAGTTATATAATATTAGATGTACAATCCTTTTTTTTTCAAGTTTCATAGTCTCTTTATTTTACTCTTATATAATAAATGTTCATTTTTATATATTGCAATGTTCAGAAATAAATGTTCATTTTTTTTTTCCTTCTTTATGTTCATTTGTGTTACGCGACTCTACCCAAAGCTTTGCACAACTTCACTCAAAGCTAGCTGGGCGCGACTCTAGCTAAAAATTTGCGTTTGAGCAATCCGATCAAATTTATTTTTGCAAGTGTTACAGATAAGAGGTAGCCCAACCGCTTACTATTCCATTTAGCCCAATCTAGGACCTTTTTGGGCCGATCTATTTTCATGCAATCCAACAAGGCCCATATTTAAGAATCCATTGGGCCGTTTTTGCGTGGTTCCATCCTTTCGAAATCACTAAATCAGGGCAAAATGCCCAAGTGGGGGGGGGTTAAGCACTGGCTGTTAGCCTGTTACTAAAATTAACGGAAGATTTGTTCTCTCTCTCTTTTGTTTTTTAGAAGAGAATGAATTGAAGTAATCATATCTTTGATAAACTCATAAACTTGACAACATTTGTCAAAAAAAAAAAAAAAAAAAAAAAGGGATAAACTTGACAAGAAGAAAATTTCAAGTTCAAAAGATCTATAATTGAGTGGAGTTAGTAAAGCTGTAAAAGTCAATGATTTTACATAAAACTATACTCCTTACTCCTTCCATCACAAACTAGTTAAAATACTTATTTTCAAACAATTCTTTATTAAATCTTAATTAGCAAGCTTCTAACTTCTTGACAACCAATTTGAGGTAGAGATATGTATTTTAAAGACTTTGATGTACTCATACGAATGAATAGGATGTAGGGTATTAAGTTTATTATGTACTCCGTATATATTAAACTTAATACCCTACATCCTATTCATTCGTATTATTTAGAAAGAACTTGCCCACATATTGAGTAACAATTGTAATATGTTTTAATTTTAGGTTAAATTACATGAGAAGTGAGAATAGAAATGAACTACTTAAATCGAGATGAGACATAATTAAAACAAAAAGTGGAAGATGTCAAGCAGTGGCAGAGCCAGAAATTTTAAACCGGAGGAACAAATGAACATCGATTAGTTTGACAAAAATATTTGAACAAAAGAATACTTAAATAGTTAAAGTTTTACAACTCAAAAATCTAAAATATGGAGTAATTATTCAAAAAAATCAACATCATACACCAAATTTTCCTCCATAAATATATTTGATCAAGGGTTTGTAATTTTTGAAAAATTCGAACAATAAATAATATAATTAGTTAAATATAGTACTTGTCATAATCACCTATTACAACCCTAATTAAGGATAATACTCATGCAAAACTACAATTACAATGATTCAAATAAGTATATGAAGTATCGTTAAAAAATAAATTGATGTAATACTAACTTATACATTAAAACTACAATTACAATCATTCAAATGAGTTTATGGAGTAATTGTTAAGAAATAAATTGAAGTAATACTATCTTATAAAGATTTTATAAGGAAAAAAAAAAAGGTAAAAAGCCTGCAAGAAGAATCGAACTCTAGTGCCTTGATCCCAAGCTACTTTTGAGCCGTTCTGCTCTGCTCTGCCTTGCCCTGCTTTGCATTGTGTTGGAAGCCTTGTTCTGCTCTACTAAAATATGCTCTACCTAGAAGCTGAAAAGAACAGGGCCTCACTCACTTTGACCGTTGCGCCAACTTCCTTGCTATAACACATTAAGCGCAAAATAATGTATTTGACATATTTTTTTTTTCTTTTCAAAAAATGGGGGGATAGCTGTCCCCTCTTATCCCACGTTGGCTCCGCCAGTGATGTCAAGTTGGGTTATTATTACTTTATTAGATTATCATAGTTTAATAAACAATGCCTTTAGTAATGCAAACCGCATTAATATTTTTTCTACACCATATGATAGATATCGTGTCCTTGTGGTAACAAAACTCTTAACGATTGGAATAGCTTGGAAGTTGGAACCTAACATGGTCACACCCTAGGTATTGACCTAATATTGGAAGTCAATATCATGCAAGCAATAACATACTCTTTTAAACAAACATCCCATTTGATTCAAAACCTAGGCAATTAATTACGTGATTAAATTAATTAAAATCATACATAGTAAATAAATCAGTGACATAGCTTTCGAAGTTAAGAGTTTAAATCTATAATCATAGTTTATTATGTCGGTATTAGAGAAATCCCTTTCGAAGAAATCTATGAACAATCATACCTAACACATTTTTGCTGAGGATTCTAAGTATATGCTTCAAAATCAACAATTGACTAGACCTACCACACACGCATCTTATTGCCAAGGGTAAAAGGACTAGAAAATGATGGTTAAAAAGCTAATCTATCAAAGACAAATTACATTTTATATGTAACCTATGATTTAGCTTATTTTTTGTCAAATTAAAGACAAATAACCTATGATTAGCATATCCCTTCGTGAACGTAGCCCACAAGTTTTATTTTAATACAAAATTAGCAAATGTAATCAAACAATTAATCGTTGTCAAATTGCTCTTGATTATGTTGATGATGCAGCATTAGCTGTAATCCACAAGTTTAATTAGTATGATCAGTACGAGTATGTTAAGTGATTGTCTCCTAGTTTTTGGTAAGCTTTTTAGAAAGGTTGTGTTGGAGATTTAGATTCGAGGTTTGTTTATATCTTGTACTTGTGGTGTGATTGCTTTCTTTATGTTGCACAAAATGAAAAGCAAGATGTTAAGTAGATATGCCCTATTTTACCTTTCTTTATACGTCGTATTTGGTATATTTTTATAAATCTCATGGGAATTTGCCTTAACATTGGTTATATACTCTATCATTTTAAG